GTTACCGTATAAAAGATAATAGTGTAATTAATACTTTAATTAGGTTTCCCAGTTTATGCATGCGCCGCGTACACCTCATCTTTTGGCTGTTAAGCGTATTTTCAGGTATCTTTAGGGGTCTATTTCGCATGGATTACTGCTTCGACCGAGCACTGCATCTCCTACCATACAGGCTTACTCGGATGCTGATTGGGCCGGATGTCCTGATAACAGTCGGTCCACCTCTGGCTTTGCTATTTTTCTGGGCCCTAATTTGATCTCTTGGAAGGCCAAGAAGCAGCCTACTGTGTCTCGTTCTTCCACAGAGGCTGAGTATAGGGCAATTGCATACACTGTTCAGGATACTCTGCATATACGCTCCATTTTGTTTGAACTGGGTTTTCCTGTTCGTGCACCGGTCACACTCATGTGTGATAATATTTCAGCTTCTTATTTGTCAGCAAATCCTATTCAGCATGCCCGCAGTAAGCATATCAGCATTGATTATCATTTTGTTCGTGAGAGAGTTTCCCTGTTGTCCTTCATGTTCCTACACAGTTTCAGCTAGCAGATATTCTTACTAAGATTCTATTTCCGCAACGTTTTATATTATTTAGAGACAATCTGCGCATTGTTTCCCTTGCACAGATTGTGTAATAGTATAATTAATACTTTAATTAGGTTTCCATATTTATTTAATTTTCTAATGTACTCCGAACTTTCTTATTATATACGTAGTGTGTGACATCTAGACTATCACATTGAGTATGTTATTCCATTATTTTCACAAGAGAGGCAACTAGGTCGAGCATGTACGTACATAACGTAGTTGCAGGGCAGGACCGCAGGAGTATATATGTAGTCTGACAAACAAGAATAAACTTGATTGTATATGCACTGAGCCCAAAGAGGATTTATCGTATCCTATCAACAGATGGAATGTATAAATATTGTATTTGTACAATTGTACGTGCAGCTGGATGGCCTTGACGAGCTAATTCAGCTAGCTAGCTATGACGTACAGTGCACTTAATGTATAAAGATTATCCATACTGCACATTCATACGGAGTATGTACTGTATTTTTTATGATGAAAAGTAGAGTGATTGAGCGCTCTCTCACACACATATACATACACTCTCTCCATCCCCTTTTGATGAGTCAAATGTGACTTTTCGAGGAAAAAATGTTAAACTTTGATCGATTATATGTTTATACACGGTAATATATTAATATTGATAATATCAAAATGATATGAAAATGTTCTTTATTAAAAAAATATCATAAAATTATAAATTTATTAAGTTTCACATAAATATAATAGTTAAAATAATGAATCAAATACAAGCTCCTCCTAGTTTACACACTACACACTCATTTTGATCATCCGTTGAATTGATCTAAAGGGTAGAAACGCACAGTGACATTTTGTTGGTAATAAAACCAAACATTTTTCAGATACAACACTTCGAACTTTAATATGTAACTGTGTATTTCATCGCAAAATAATATGCAACATTTTGAACATCAATATGCAATACAAATAGCGTAAAAATGTTGATGGATTATATGGACTCCGACCCCCCGGTACGCCGACTACTAGGCCTGGACAGCGGCCCACACACGTTTAGGGGATATCATTAATATTATTGTACATTGTTATTATTATTCAGATGTTCTAGATCAGCTTTTTATACTATCAGTCCGTTTATGTAACCGGGTTTGTCAGGCCCATATTAGAGGCCCAGACCCGGATTTTCCCTATATATACTCCTTATAGGAGGCTTGTAAACCATAACTCAATAACTCATAGTTCATACACAATACACATTTTTCTTCTTCTTCTCCATTACTCCTTTTGATTCTTGTTCAATTTCTCCTGTTTATACAATATGGGTATCAATTATCCAACAAATGTATTGTACAAAGTTTTGAACAAAAAGCAAAATTTCTTAATAATCTTAAAATATTGTACAAAAATTAAGAATTACGTTAGCTCTGATCCTTCTATCATTATAATAAAATACATATGTAAGTTATTTCATATACTGTATTCAAACCCAAAAATGTTGGTCGGCTGGGTTTTCTAGCTTTGTGCGAGTTTCTTTTGACGCCACATTGCATGTGCGACTTCATTCAGTACCTTTGGCGATGACATCGACATAATGCATGCATGACAATATTGATCGTACATGCGATAGGGGTGATTCCAATGGCAAATCTTGTGGAGCAATATGACAAGTTGGTGTTGGAGGATTAGGAGGAAGGGTTGGTTTTCGACGAGGGGGGAGAAGGAGATCATGCGACTTTCCCGGTGGCCAAAACTCGTATTATTTAAAGTTGTAAAATTTAAGATTTTTAGGGATGTTATGGATTCAATCTCGTGCCCAGGTAGGGATGTTTGATACTCTCTCCGTCCCCCTAACTTTGTCCCGTTTGACCTTTTTCGTCCGTCCCATTAAGTTTGTCTCATACCATATTTAGTAATATTTGAGTGATTAGAATTCATTCTTACTTTATTCACACTTTATCAATTCAATATCAACCTTAAAAATCACACCACACCCCTGTCCTAAACTTAGAGGGGCGGAGGTAGTAAAAATCATTGGCCAACGCCAATATCTATTTTCTTTCTACCATATTATTGATATGAGGCGGGTTCTTGAGAATGGTTATGGATATTTGAACCTATTCTGTTAATTTTACAGGTGATCAAGCTAGAGGATATATCTCTTAGGGTTTCTCGACATATGACAGATTTTTGAGTTCGAGTTCATAATGTGTCTTATGGATTTATGACTTCAGAAGAAGCACATAGAGTTGAGAATTTTTTGGGCAAATTTGTAAAAATTGATGAAAATCAGTTGGAATGTAGTTGTAGTGCTTGCATGAGAATCATAATTTGGTTGGATATAGGAAAACCTTTTAAGACAGAGACAAAGTTTAAGAAGTGTAATGGAGAGTGGCTTTGGGTGGATTTTAAATATGAGAGTCCCTAGTTTTGTGTATGGAACTATTGGTCATGCAAACAAGTATTGTCCTAGAATATGAACAAGGGGCAAAGGAATTAAACCAACCATTTGTACCATAAGAGCTAGAGTAGGGAGAATTCGATTAACTGGGGGGATAAGTAGTTCGTGAAGGGAGGAGATGGGTTTGCAGGTAAAGATAAGAATACAATGGGAGACGGGAAATAATGTGCCAATCGGGTTGTAAATTTATTGGCAGGAAGGGAGAGCTTGCTGATACCGGATAGGGGATCAAGAGAGGATTTGTCATGAATATAATTAATTATGCTAGCAGGTAACACCTAGGGTGGTGCGGGAGTCTAAAAGATCATGACGAGAACGTGGAAGGAACAAATGAGAGAGGATCAAATGGGCAATGCAAAGGAATGGCGTTGGATGATTCAAAAAATGAGAGGGAGGCGGGTCCTAGGTACCAGGCACGCTTTAGGATGCGATAAAATATAATTATCTCTCTCATGATGTAGCTCTACCATTCTCCTATTTCTTGGAGGACCTTTTTATTTTAGTTTTTCCAATTTGTTGTCTTTTTTGTATTTAGACATTGTCCTTTTATTTTTCCTATTTCCTTGAAAACTTTGAGGATTAGGGTGAGTGATGAGAAGTTTGTTTTCATCATTATTGGCCAAGTTATAATAAGCATCTCAATGAGTTATATTGCTTTGATCGGGATGTAACCTTTTGCCAAGATGACTTGATGTAATTTATAAAAATTCCGATTTCTTAATATAAGCCATTTAGTAATATCTTTCCATTTTGGTGCGTTTGGCCACCCAATTTAATAGGCTGATGGAGAGCATATATATGTACGTAATATCAAATGGAGCCAAAGGCGGCATTAGCTGCTAGGTGCTGCCCACATCCCACTCCGGCCTCTATCTATCTGATTCCAGATCAGACGTGCAAAACAATAAATTGGTGATCGGAAGTTGACATTTATAACTGCGGAATGGGCAGTGCAGTCCGGCCATGCATCCATCCAATAAAGCTTTTATATATACATTTATACTACCAAAAGCTACTACGTACATTATTTATATGCATGTATTTCTTATCTTATCTCCATGCCGCATATGCATTCATCTCCGATCCATCTGTGCAGCTAGTGGGGTCTAAGTTAAAACTACTCATCAGATCATATATATCATCTGCCCTGCCACCAGCATATCATGTACTGCGCATATCATTCAGAAATAAAGACAGCATATGGGGATTTTAGGACGACGTACGTGTACATTGTGTGTACAAGAATGAAACTACACATGATATAATTTGATTCAAATAAATTAGGGGCCCGATGACCCATGTCGAAAATCGCTTCCAAAATTGCATTAATTGATTGTTGCTTCTTTATAACAAAGAATTTGTTATATTTGTCCCACATCGAAAATGTATGAAACAATAAAACACTATACTAAGATTTGACCTACTCTTCTTATCAGGTTGATCTTTTAGGATGAAATTCCAGATCATTACAAAAGCACAAACAATTTAGTGAGCTATTTTACTTTATTCTATCATATTCCCAAAGCAAAATATAATGAATCTTTGGCCCAAATAAGAATTTGGTATAACAAGATAAATCAGAACAAATCATGTTCACTGGATTTGAAAACTTAGTAGCCGGAAATACAAATTCGCACCAACACACGCGAAATAGGCAAATTATACCGTAGGCCGGTTGTATAGTAATCACCGGGTACTTTTATTATTAATCACAACTCGGATGGCATTTAGATGTGTGCTATTGTTTTGTTCCTAATTGATGTTTTAGCTGAAATTTGGTACGAATAAACTAGATTTGATGAAGAACATCCTCAAAAGATTTCATAAAAAAATTTCACCGCGAAAGTCTCGAAATGCCGTCGGCCGGACGGCGGTTCCTATCAGGCCAGGTGTACATGAATTGTCCTCTATGTTTAACTCCGTTTCTTGGTAAGTTTACTCCGTATATACCTTGCACCTGCGGACAAACGCTGAAATGCTGCGCAGTGGGTGGGGTACGACAATCATACTTTAATGATTAAAATGAACCGGCGGGCCCCGGAAAATCGTATATAAACCTGGTGGCCGGGCGTACAAGTTTCAGACATGCACCATCGATCATCTATATATCATCCAGTACCAATATATATATATATATATATCCCTGCCAGTGGGCGTTCAATTTCTCAGAGGAATTGGAAGAAAAAGATCGAATTGATAATGACCAAGGGAAGTTTGCTGAAGAAGATGAAGAGGTTAGTGTATCGCGGCGGCCGTAGAGCAGCGGTGGCCTCATCATCAGCCGAAGCGGCGGCCGAGAAGTGGCGGGCGGAGGAGAAAAGGCGGCGCATCCCGAGCGACGTTCCAAAGGGGCATTTGGCAGTGTATGTGGGAGAAAGGCAGAAAAGGTTTGTGATCAAACTCACCACACTAAAGCACCCGCTGTTCATATCATTGCTGGATGAAACAGCAGCTGAGCTGCAGGATGAATATGAATATGAATATGATGATTCCAAATTCTGGATTCCCTGTGACGAGAGCATCTTCGTCAGCGTCATTCGTTGCGCTACGCCTCCCCCAACTAAACTCTTCTCTATTTGCATTTGTTAATCCCCCAATTAATTAGTCCCCAAAAATCAAACCCCTTCTCTAATTTAATTTCTTCATCATTTTTCAAGGCATTCATATTTCTCATACTCTTTTTTGTATTACGAAATATGATATTCTTTATGATCACTTCATGGAGGTAACATTTTCCATACTTTGAGGTCTTTGACATGCATTCATATCAGATAATGAGTTTAATTTCGTGAAAATGTAAGGAATTATAAAGCTGCAAATATTACGGGACACCGAAATACTTCGGAAATATTGAGAATCGTATCGAAATATATAATATATGCCATTAAATATTGATCATCTCGGGCTCTATCATATCTAAGAAAACACTTAAACCAAAATTTTAATTTGATCGATGGATTTTTCTTCAAATTACGATTAAGTCATATTCAGAGCTCGTTTGGTGGCCTCTTTTTCCGGCTTATCAGCTATCTTTTCCACCAAACACGTCACTTTTGTGTAATAATAAGAAAATGTGAGGTAGGAATTACTTTTCTGGCGTTATTGGTTGAAGTTACTGTAAATGATCATTTTAGCTATTTTTCATATAATTTTTTATTTGATTTATTAATAAAAAATATTTAAATATAATTTTTTCATAAATCAACAGAATCAGCCAATACAGATACTTTAACCCGATCTTCATAAATTTTAGCAGAATCTACCAATTTAGTCAATTTCGGTGTTACTAAACGGGCTCTCAATTATGATTTTTCTTGTTAGCTCTATACGTACCACTATAAATATGCATGCTCAGCTATATATATATATATATATATATATATATATATATATATATAGAGCAAGGTGTACAAGTCTAGAAGAATATATATACAAAGAGCCCGTTTGGAGAACTCTGTTTTCGGCTTATCAGGCTTATCAGCCAGCTTTTTCACCAAACACGTAACTTTTACTTTCGCGCGCTGAATTGTGTAATAAGCCGAAAAAGTAAGGTTGGAGTTACTTTTCTGGCTGTATTGGCTGAAGTTACTGTAGAGGACCATTTTAGCTATTTTTACATATAATTTTTTCTTTAATTTATTAATAAAATATATTTTTAAAATATTTTTTTCTTAAATCAGCAGAATCAGCCAAAACAGCCACTCCAGCCAGAATATCATAAATTTCAGCAGAATCAGCCAAAACAGCCGATTTTGGTGCTACCAAACGGGCTCAAAGAGTCAAAGATAAATGAGAGCTCAAAAAATATACTAGTACTACACAAGATATTATTCAAGAATATTAGAATAGTACTCCTACACCCGTTTCTACTCTTGTACTTATCATAGTTGTACCTATTTCTTACTTTCTTTTCGAGAACCTAACATTTGTTAGGATTCATTGTCAATTATGTTGGAACTTGGAGTATGGTGAGGACTTTACGACGAGTGACACCTCGATTTCTAAATAAGATTATGCAAAACTCTAACGAACTAGAGCTCGAGGTTTATGTTGGGAAGACGGCAAACTAGAAAGTCTATCTTGTATAATTTAAAACAAGATTGCTAAGTTCTAACTACAAATCAAGGTTTGAGTTGGATGACTCAAGGGTAGCCTAGGAATTGAGTCTAGCGGCATGCATAGTTTTTAAGAAAAATTGATAAGAATAATCCCACCTTTCAATGGTTTTCTCATAATAATCCCACATTTGCACCTCATCTTCTTTCATTGGACTTTTTTTTGAAAATCTTATATAAATAATCCCACCTTTGTAGGTCATCAATAGTTCAGGGTCCAATGAAAGAAGAAGAGGTGCAAAGGTGGGATTATTTTTGGATTACGTAAAGATGGGATTATTATTAGAAGACCAGTGAAATGTGAGATTATACTTGTCAATTTTTCCTAGTTTTTTTCGCAAAACTACGTTTTAGTGAAAATGATTCAAATATATACTCCGCTATGATATATGTAATGTGATTAAATACGGAGTTTTACTTTACTTATTTAAAATATAACCTCCACACATAAATGAACTAAGAAAGCACATGAAACATTTTTTAAGTGCCGAGTGGTGTAGTCCCAATCTCCCATGACTTCACATCAGTATATTGTACATAAATTTATGAATAACCACCATAAGCAACTAAGCAAGTAAAAGAGACCACAAGTGAATTTTTTTCGCCATTATTATTATTCGATGACAACTTATACACATATATATGTTTTCAAAAAAAAAAAAAACTTATACACATATACGTGGGCCCTGCAAAGAAATATTCAATCGAATACAAACTGCTGAATACAAATACTCCGTATATTTATATTTCTTGGTGCAGCCGTTTTTTGCGCTAATCATTAACCAATTTTACTCCTTACTTATTCTACACTAGACTAGCTACTCCCTAATTATTCTCCTTTAGCCTCACGACTCACGAGTAGAATTAAGTGAACAATTTTTTATTCTTATAATGATAGTACTAGTATTACATATTTCCATAATGTCTCATACTCTTTTTGGACATTGCAGAATTTGTATTAGGTTTGAAATAAAAAAAAAAGTGCTCCATGAAAATTATATAATTGAGAGTTGTACGAATAAGAGAAATAAGCAGAACTATAAAGTATTTATTTAAATAAAAAATAACAACAAATTTAAAACAGATACCCGTGGTTGGACTTTGTATACGGATGTGAAATGGCCGTATACTTAAAAATATTCCCATTCACAGGATATATTCAAATGCTAAAATCGTGATGCAGTCTCCAACCTTACCGGATGGGCTATTGGAGTTGGTAATTAAGAATTCTAGGAGTATTAGTTATCGTTTTTGGTGATCACATACAAGAAAGCACCATATTTAGACATTTAGTGTACTACATGTTGGAAAATGTGTTAATAAATTGCATTAAATGGTCATTTTGGAGCAATTTTTTGAGTGGGCTCCACTTTCGATTTGGATCGGGTCAAAGTGGTTTCGGATTGTCCTTGCTTAGAGCTACAATTTGATATATGGTACGCTCAAAACGGATAACGGGTGAATGAAAAATTGATTCTCGAAGTTCACTCATTGAAATGGAGAAAACTAGGAAAAAAGTGAGTTTCTTGTACGGTTTTTTCCCACACCAGAAAACCTAAGGGAATTTGAACTCTTTATAAATAGGGGAGGACCGGTTCCGGTTCGGGCCTGGGCCCGGCCGGGCCTCGGTTCAGGAATGGGAGGCCCGGAACCGGCCCGGGTAATCCCGAGTAATCCCGGGTCCGGGCCGGGCCTTGGTTCTATTTTTTTTTTTTGGGCTTTTCGTAATTAACCCCCAACCCTCCCCCCTCACCCCCAAACCACCCCAAACCACCTCAAATGGCCCAAAATACCCAGCTCAACCCAAAAACTTAAAAAAAATTCAAAAAAAAAAAAATAATTTGGCCCGAACCTGGCCCAAACCGGCCGGGCCGGTTCACCAATCCTAGGGCCCGAGCCCGAACCGCATTCCTACCGGGCCGGGCCGACCCGAACCGCCCCCCGGGCCGGTTCCCGGGCCGGGCCGGTTCAAACAGTAACCGGGCCGGGCCGGTTCCGGTCCGGGCTGCCCGGCCCGAGTCCATCCCTATTTATAAAGAGAAACCTAGTTTTGTTCACGTTCGTTGGAACTTTAGTTTGAGTGCTAAACTATCGTTCGTAGTCATCGTATCCTGGGAAACGATCGTTGCAACGATCCTAGCACATCGGGAGGCAACACATACATTTTAAGGAAATCGTGCGTAGCATGAGCTTTGACAATTTCTGCTCCATCTCTTTTCTTGTTTTTCGTTTAGTCATTTTATATAATTAATTTTCTTTGTTTTTTGAAACACACCCAACATTACTCTGTACTCCGTATATCTTTACTAAAAAAGAGGAAAATACGGGAAAGATAAGAAAGAATAGATTGCAAAATAGATAAAAACGTCTCCCCTTTTTTCATTAACTGATGCCATATCTGTGTGTGTGTGTATATACCAACAAATGAAAAATACTTTTATGAACTTTTCAGTGAGTGTTAGCTTTTAGTGACTGAAAAGATCTTAAAAGAAAAATGCAGTAGCTGTTTGATAAAAAGCTGACTGTTTGGTTTAACTTTTCTTTGGGATACAAGCTGTTGGGACTAATTAATGCTAAAAGCTACAGACTTATCTGATATGCTACTCACTGTAGCATCTCAAAAAAGATCTTTTATTTTTATAGAAGCTCTTAATATTTGTCATGCCAAACAAACAACTAAAAGCTTTTAAGAACTTTTTAAATAGTACAAAAGTTAGAAGACACTGACTTATGCATGCCAAACATAACCTTAACTGCAATTTATTTATAAAATAAAGTACTACTACGTACTACCTCAGTCCCAAATTGATTTGCAAATTTGACTTTTCTTGGTCAAACAGTTTCGTTTTGTTCACTTAATTAGGATGTCAATTTTTAATTATATTCTAATTTGGAGTTTACAACTTTGAAGAGATTTTAATGTAGTTTATGAATATGTAAATTTTAATTTTTAAAAATTGAATTAAATAGCCATACGGAGCATTGACTTTTATTATTGGTTGACCAAAAAATGTTGACTTTGCAAAACAAATTGGGACGGAGGGAGTAATAAATAACGGTATAATAATACTAATAAATGACAACGTGTCCGAGTCTATTTGAAATTCCATCCTATGAAATGTTTGGGGTTGCATCTATCCAGATGAACAGTCTTCCTAACCTTCCTAACCTAGCAATAATGGGGATGTCTTATATTTGTTTAGAAGTTAATAGCTTGTGAACTTCTTGTATATAAGGTTTTCCAAAAAAAACTTCTTGTACATAAGGAAGCCATGTATACGAAAGCCATGTATACACACACGATTCTTCATGCCTACTTCACATGCAATTAAGAGCATCTCACTGTATTTAAGTATTTAACTATATAACACTGGTTGATCAAAGTTTAGAAAAACATCTGCAGAGCAGAATTGTTGTCCTTTTGTTTCTTCACCTTCTCCCTTGATATAGAAAAAGAACACTTTGATTGCTTTGAGCTTAAAATAAGCTTAAGAGTGTGCTTTCTCCTGCACCAGTCCTACTGTACCTAAAGGGGTCAGCTATGATATTGATGCAAATGGTGACATAACACTCTCCCCTACTACAAATTGACATATATACTATGATATTAAAAAAATAAACACTTAAAATTAAAAGAAAGTCAAAGCATAAATAGCCATTAATCCCAATCAAAAGTAGGAGCATACTTGGTCAGCAATAAGAAAATTTTGGATCCATAATCGTAACTGGTTTAACTGGTCAGTTCTAGGTCCGGTTTACATGGGCTTCTAGTTTGGATTTTAAGTTCATTCTGGTTCAGGATTTCAGCCACACAAACCGGTCTGCTTCAGATTCTGCTTTGGAGGAATCAAAACTGGACCGGATTTAAACCAATTATAGCCTTATCATAGGTACAAACTCTAGTTTGAAACACTCAATCTGGTTCGATTGTGGGTAACATAACCAGTAGGTCTCAAAATTGAGACCATATCCACCCCTTGGAAGTAGGGTCTGGGAGGCTTATGTTAAAAGTATACCTTACCTTGATTGGCATTAAAAGAATTCTAAGGATTTGAAAGAAGTTAGAAGCTTAAAATGTAGAAAATTTTAGAATAACAACAACATCCAAGCCTTAGTCCCAAAAGATATTGGGGTCTGCTAACATGAATCGATACATGATATCACCACCAAAAGGAAAAGAAATAAAATAAAGATAAAAAAGATAAACTATTATAAAAAAGATAATATAAAAAGAGATGAATATACCTAAAAATGATAAAATAAAAAGGATAAAAATAATAGAATGATTTAGTAAAATTATGATGTGGAAAAAAATGACTCCCGAAGATCAAAAGTTGTGCTGGCAATGTGACTAAAAAAGTAAAGACTAGTTTAATGCCACAGTATGCACCCAAAGGGCCAAAACTACTAGCTCAAGCTAAGAGACACCCCAATCCCCAAGATTGATTGCTCTCACACCCTTTTAGAAAACAGCTACCCATTATTCAAAAGTCATTTACAAATCATTAATCACACACAAATGACTCCCAACCACATTTGAATAAAGAGCTCATATCATATAACTTTCCTCTTCATCTGTGTATGGTGATTGAGCAGCTAATCATCTGAGATGATTTGTTAGAGATGTACTCACACATTTACCAGTTCTGATACCCAATCAACATATTTTTGCAGGGTCATTTTCATGGTAGCCTATGTTGTCAACTAACAAAATACTTGTATGAACAAAAACTTATTATCTATAAAAGATTATGTTAAAATGTGAAACTTTGGCTCCTTGAACATTAAGTTTCTGGCTTCACCATTTGCCAAATAAAAGTAAAGATGAGGAGGCACACTCTTTTCACATTCCCTTCCCCCCTTCAATCCAAAAAACACTTTGTTACTCCAGTAACGAAAAAGGTAAAAGTGAGGTCCTATAAATGCAAAGGCAGATTTACTAGATCATCAAGCCCAAAACTTACTAAAGAATCACAAGCCCAAAACTTACACTTACTAGAAGTGTGAATCAAGAATCAGTCTCAGAATCCAACTCTATATCTGACTCACCTTGGAAAGGTTTTAATCTATTGGTGTTGGCTTCTAATGGAGGAAGTCCATCATCATCACTACTAGAGTTTTCAACATCACATGTCTGAGGTGTGTGCTTTTCCAAACTTTGCATTGGAGGTTCTATTGCTGCAGATCTGAAGATATCTGGCCTGCACGGGAAGATGGTGATAAGTATGAGAATTCAAAGCATAAATGGTTTCACACAGCTGCTTACCAAATGATGCCTATTGTTCTAAATTCATACAGTTTTCAATAAAAGATTCAAATCCAGAATCATTTTGAATATTCATATTCTAAATCATACGGAGTATTAAATGATTCAGTATTTCATTGAGAACAAAGAAGTGCAAAAACAAAGAGCATTAGTTTCAAGCAATCACGTACCAGTCTGGGGACTTTTGACACTCACGAACTTGGTCATAGAAGAGGACTTGTGTAACAGTGCACCCCACTTTTCTACCAGACCCCATTGCCTCCTCTCTCCCACTCTCGTCAACCACAACAAAGTTCCCTATTCAATCGCAGTAAATGAAAAGAAGAAAGAACAGGTGAAATAAACCCTTTCTAATCTCTCTCTCTTTTTTAAAATAAAAACTTAAGGTAGAAATATAATTATAAGCTACTCTCTTAACAGAGCAAACCTCTTTTAATCCACATGCTCTTTTGAAATTTAGCTGGGAAGATTGCTATTGACTTTTCACCCTTCGCATCCATTACCTTTAAATACAAACAATTTAACTTAAGACGAAACAATATATATTACTAACAGAGTAACAGAGTTTTCCCGGACAAAAATATGATTAGTTATGTATTTTGGACAAAAATATGACTAATCACTGTATACAAGTAACTGAACTAGTAGATGCTGAGTCACTTGAAACTAGTCACTAAATATGTCACTTTTTTTATTTTTTTAAAACAAGTCACATTTTTGTTTTTTGAATTTAATTTAGTAATATTCATGGGAAAAGGCCATATATAAAACATTAAAATGTACAAAGATTGTATGCATGTCTCTGTTTGGGGGTGTTAACTAGTATGAGAGAGAGAGAGAGAGAGAGAGAGAGAGAGAGAGAGAGAAGTGGACACCTCAATCTGATTGGAGCCACGTAGGTCAACTACTTGCATAATGCTCTCTCCCAGTTGAAGAGTTGCAAATTTATCATTTACAGCTCTTTTCAAGTTCTTTCTTCCTCTTTTCATGGCTTAATGATCTTTTTCCCCTTCTAGTACTCAATCCAATGCACACTTGAAAAGAAATCATGACAGTTAGTCATAGCTTTATAATAATAAGTCAATATCCAATTGACAGTCAGTTACTTAACACTGTTGGTGAAATACGAGGGTGTTTAGATGAGAATCACTTTATAGCAGTGTATTGAAGTCTTTAAGATGAAGGCGAAGTACCCGGCTTACTTACAGAGTTACAGGTCCAGTTCAATTCAATAAATCATCAACTTTCAAATTCAACATTTAAATGTGTAATAGAGTAATTCTAGATAGGGGTGGATTCGGTTCGGGAACTGAACCGAAAGAGGAATATTTCGAACCGAACCGATAAATCGATTTCTCAATTTCCCACGCCCGAAACCGAACCGGATATTTTCGGATCCCGATTTTTCAGGTCGGTTTTTTGGTTTGATAAAAAACCGAAAGGAAATTAAAAATCTTGACTAACCGGTTGCAGCAAGGCAAAGCCTTAGCCACTTATTTCAATTATACAACCCGAGGGCCATTTATAACTTTATATAGAGATGTAGGAGGAGAACAACTCCCGTTTTATCCGGTGTGGGAAACTTTCCAAAGCTAAGGAAAAAATAAATGCAACGCTCAAAGTCAGGAATCGAACATGGGTGGGGAGAAAAAAATTGGTTGCTCAACGAATGTTCTCTAAACCGCTGGACTGCTACACAAAATCATTAACTAATGGACTTGTCAACAATACATTACATTTACTTATTATTATTAATAGCAAGTAATAATAATTAATAATAATATAAAATTTTCGGTTCGGTTCGGTTTAAACCGATTTTTTGTGTACAAAAACCAAACCCGAACCGATTTTATTTCGGGTCCCGATTTTTGGGTCCCAATTTCGTTCGGTTCGGTTCGGTTCGGTTTGGTTTTTTTTCCAAAACGGTTCGGTTATTTTCGGTTTGGTTTTCGGGTTTTCGGTTTGAAATGCCAGCCCTAATTCTAGAGACTATAAAGGACAATGAGTACAGACTACATAGTTTATTACTCATTACGAATGCAATTTTTGTGAACCATATCAACCCCTAACCAGCTCAGTATTGTTAATGGCCAATGTCGGATGACCAAAATTCTGCCATATGGCAACACACCAACACGCATAACCCACCATCTTTAATAAATTTCCTATGGAAGCCTATGTAGCACAGAAATTCTCGGGAAAGAGTACATTTCCATTTTGGAAACTATAAGGAAACTCTTCGGAAAGTCGGAAACTCTCAAAGCAATTGTTTTTCGAGGAAAAGATGATGTGCCCCATTTCCCGTTTCCTCGTGATTTTCATGTTCCCGTGCAACATGGATGGAAGCATGGTGTGTTTACGTCAATACCATTCACTTGGCTGCTGTTTGACATAACTGAACCAAACCAGGCTTTTCAGAGCCCGCCCAAGACTTATGAAGATCCAAAGCTAACTTCAAATTCAGACTTTCAAATAACTACTAATAAAATATTTCAAAAACAACTACTAATGCAGAATATTATTTATTAAAAGTTGTCATTCTTCTAATAAAATTTTATTTTACGGTCTCCTTAAGGTGTAATTCATTCATCAAACAACTATAACCAAATTGGTTTAACTTTTATATTCCAATCATCAATAATGAAGTTAAGAAAAAGGAAATTACGTGAACTATAAGAAGTTTATAACGAGAGTGTGAATCTCAAGTCTGACAAGGATTCATAAAATGAAGCCTAAATGAAATTAGTGAAACTTTTACCTAAATCAAATTAAGACCATGAAAACAATAGAGACTAAATGGAAGAGGAACCGAGACAGAAGAGAATGAGATAATAGAAAGAAAACAAGTTAGGAGACGTGAACGAAAGTAGAGAACACGAGAGGCAGAGAAGTTTGAAGGAAATGTAAAATCTAAGAATAATTTAGTGATTGATGTATTTGGACTTTGGGTGCCTACAAAAATTATTTTCTTTGGAAGCCTACAGCAATGGCTTTGGTGGAGTGGTGGCTATGTGGCTTTACTCTTTGGCCTTGTTTCTATTGAATGAATAGAATCAGCTTACTAGAGTGATAAAAATAAAGTTTTGAAAAATTTTGACCTCTAAACACAGATTAAGAGCAACAAGTGAGTTTGATATGTATGATCAGAGTTCAGAAGATACCAGCTCCATGCAGCTTAAATGGCCCAGCAACGGAAAAGCATATTTGAACTACTCGATAAATTTAAGTAAAGAACACAAAAGCAGCTAACATGAGGACCAAGAAAAAATATGCTACATCTTAGAGATATATACTAACGATTACTTTACATAGATAAGGCATGTTAGATCCAAGTTTTCCACTTTGTGTTTCCAAAGATTTAACCAAAGTCATCAGGTTCCACACATGTTTTTGAACTTGTAAGGGAGCCAAAAAGTTTCACCAAAGAGCATACATGCTTTGTCTGTTTTCTCACACTCAACTCCTACACCTCTATTAACCTTCTATGCTTCTAATAGAGAATTAGGAATAGGAAGAAATAATCACCCAATATACATTACTAAAACATTCTCACCTTTCCCTAAGTAAGACTAGTGTATTTCATTTCTAAAATATACAAGTACATGACCCATATAGTAATATATAAAGAATGCTACTCCCTCCGTTCTCTAATACATATCTCTCTTTCCATTTTGGGATCTTCTCTAATAAATGTCTCCCTTTCCACTTTTAGAAAGTTTTTTCAATAATATACATATATACCCTCATTCTCTTTCCTACTTTTTCATTCTCTTTCCTACTTTTTCCTTTACACACAACCCACTACACCTTTTATTCTACCCCTATTAATTTCTTCTTAAATGTTGTGCCAAAGGCTATACTCCCATCTATTAGAGAACGGAGGGAGTATAATACTCTATTTGAAGAAACTAATTTACCCTAACTAAATGTCTCCCAATTATCCCCTGCCACATTAATTCTGTTATTCCCAGGCCATATCCCTTCTTGCATTACTTATCATCGGCCAAAAAATATACTACGTACTCCCAAACCATAACCCTCTATGGCCAGACAACACTCTCCCTCCATGGCTAGCAGCCCAGAAGTGAATGGATGACAGGAGGGGCATTGGGCAGTCAAGGTGGGGACAGGTTACCTAATCTTAGTGTCGATGGGGGTAATCTAATCTTATTTTTCTTTCATTATATGAAAACGATTAACTTTTGATAGACATATTTACAGAGGCTTGAAAGTTGTATGTATATATTAGTAATGTCTAGGTAAATTTCTCTTTAAAAAATAGGAATAGTCTCTTTACATTTACTGTTAGTGTTCATATGGAACTTTCTTGCTATAGCCTTACTATTACCGCTTGTTTAGCTTCTCAAAATGAAACACAAGATTAAACAAACTTGCACAGTGATGAGTAAGTAACTAAGATAAAGTGTTTCCCTAATATTACAATGACAACCAAAGATAAATTTGCACATTGCATTGATTCTTAGCATAGTTTTGCCAAACACATTGCTTGGTGACTTACAAGCTAAAGCTGGACATTCAAGACTGTGTGATTTTCGGACTTCACTCACAGAAATCCGGATCATTATAGCCGCGAGAAGTGAAAAGGGGAAGGAAAAAAGGGTAGAAAAATATAGGTTATACACAGCAGTCGTATTTAAATGGTTGATAGGCAACCGGAATGTGATTAAAACAAGCGGTAAAGAGATAACCAATTTCAGAAAAATACGCTAAAGATTATTAGATTGAAGAGAAGATTTATGAAAACGAAACACACCTCCGCCCACTTCCGTCTATTGCTGGTTCTGAGTTCAGTCTTCAGTTATTAGTTGTTACGACTCCTTCGAAGGCTGGCAAGAGTTCTCACTTATACTTCAGATCAGAGTCTTGAGGGTCGGCTACGTTACCATGCTAAAAATGCTATCGTATAATGGAGTTTTTAACCAAAAAGAAAAATGTATTTACCAAATTGGAGTTGAGTTAAAAGTTTTTACAAAATACAGCTAGTTGGAACCCTAGTTAAAGAAAGCCGCCAAACCAAGTGACGGCTTCCTTTAAAATTGATTTCGTACGCCGTATTTGCTAAAATTGACTTCCTTTAAAATTGATTTAGTAGGGTGATAAAAAGAAAGTTTTAGATCAAACTAAAATTTTACCCTGTATATGTGATCTCCCTGATCTATTCCACCCTCTTTTAATCTAGTCTGGTATCAATTCAATTAAAAATATTATTATTTCAAACTAGATCTCTTATATAGATTTTACTATTGTAACACCCCGGGGCAATGCCCCGATAGTATCACTTTAATATGAATTAAATAGCTAAATATTAATAGATATTGTGAATTATTTACAATTTTTTTACTATATTTATAAAATTTGTTAATAATAGTTTTAATTTCAAATAATATCTCAAATAATATTTTGATACATTAATCTAAAATATTTGAAATAAAAATTTGTTGCATTAGTATTGTACCATGGTAATTATTTACCTCTTCAATCTCAAACAATTGATTGATTATTATTTGTGATACCGGTGAAGAAAAATGTGCTCTTTAGATTTGTGAGACTCTTCCTTTGTGTTAACCTATCTGTTACTTTTGAAATTTGTTTCTCAATCTTAAGACAAAAATCAACGTATCATTATAAATACCTCGTCGTCCTCTCTAAACTCAATGTGGAGACGTTAAACCAATTGCAAACTGAAATCTCGTCTGTAATAAAATGTTTTAGAATCACTAATTATATACTACATCCGTTCCTAAAAAAATTTCCAAGTTTGAATGGCACGCTTATTAAGAAAGTGGAAATGTATGGTTGTGCTTGTGTAAGAAAAAGGTAAAATGAATGCGAACCACACAAATTGTCCAAAAAGGGAAAGTAGGAAGTATTTTTGGGAACGGCCCAAAAAGAAAAGTGGGAAGTATTTTTGGGAACGGAGGGAGTATAATTTATAAATACCTTTAAAAAATTCAATTATTCTATTTCATTAATCTAATAATGGTTAATAAATACATTGCCACTCACCACTCTTTGATTATTTCAAACAATACAAAAAATATATGGGATTGACACGGATTTAACACAAATTGATCGATGTTATCGTGTCAAATAACTCGTGTCAATATATTTTTTGACACAACTTTGGCATATCTCTCTTAAATCCTAAATGCATTTTGGCAAACCCTTATCAATCCTGTGTTTTTTTGTAGTGAACACATAAACGAATCACATATAGAAATTCTTTATTTGATTCTTTATGTTGTTTGAGTCTGCCATCTACTTTTTTCACCAATATATATCGCAAAAATAACATAATTAACTGAGACCTGTTAATTTGAGGCCCGCTTTTAAGGGATAAATGAAGCATTGACACAATATAATAAAATATACATAATTTAATGATACATGGGATAGATTTATAAAAGGGAAAATGGAAACTAATAATCCAACCTTTTAGCGGTATTCTTTCAATAATCCCACCTTTTGATTATTCATGAATAATCCAACCTTTGCACCTCATCTTCATTCATTGGTCCCTAGTCGGTTAATGACCTACTATTCCAAGTTATTTTCTTATCTTTCCAAAATATTATCTTTGTGAAAGATGAGATTTATGGTATAATGATTTGCAAAGATAAGAAAATAGCTTGGAATAGCAGGTCATCAACCGGTCAGGGACCAGTGAATGAAGATGAGGTGCAAAGGTTGGATTATTCACGAATAATCAAAAGGCGGGATTATTGAAAGAAGACCGCTAAAAGGTTGGATTATTAGTTTCCATTTTCCCTTTATAAAATTAAAGATACTAAAAATATAACTTTTCTTCATCTATCATATGTGACATTTAATTTTAGGCTAAAGGGTCAAATAGGTACATGAACTAACTTAAAATGTTCAATTAGCCCCTTATATAAGAGATTTAGCCCGGCTATCGCCAATTGGGGAGGTTCCCGGTTTAATTTTTTGATGAAATTTTTTGAGCATCTTCTTCATTAAGTCTAGTTTACCCATACCAAATTTCAGCTAACAATTCAACTGGGAAGGTAGTCAAATGATTTTCCGAAATGTATTGCGCTGTTTAACTGCGCAGTTATCTTCAAAAAATCATTTGACTGCCTTCCCGATTGAATTTTTAGCTGAAATTTGGTATGGGTAAACTAGACTTAATGAAGAAGATGATCAAAAAATTTGATCAAAAAATTCCACCGAGAACCACCCCAATTGGCGACGGCCGGGCAGAACCTCTCATATAAGGGGCTAATTGAACACTTTAAGTTAGTTCATGTACCTATTTGAACCTTTAGTCTTAATTTTAACCCATTTTTCACAACTCTCTCAAATTTATTGCATGTACTATCCGGCTCTTGACCTCCCTCATTATATTAATCGAACGATCTATGTCACATTTTTTAATAAAATGATGTCAAATTTAACATATGAAGAATTAAAAGGAGAGATTTTGAAATCATGTATTTCTTCAACAACAGCTGGCTAAGTAAACAGAAGTTTAAAATTATGGTTGCACAAACAGAAGCCATATATATTGCGTCTAACATATTTCTTTGATGTTATAACAGTGTTTATCGTAAGATGTCCTCCGAACAAAATAAAATAAGGAGTATATTAATAACTTATCCAAATGAGTATAAAGTTATACCCCAAATGTCACTCCTCACATCCACGACTTTTTATGCTTTTAATTTGTTCCCTATCAAAAGAAAAAAAGTAAACAATGTAAACTCACTATCAAATACTCTGTAAATCTCTCAAGTTGCTTTTCTTAGTTTTCTTTTTAATTTATCCCAAAATAAGTGTCACGTTTTTTTAAAGAAATTTGGTTCACAATATTTCACTTTATTATACTTAGATCTCAACAATAACTTTTTAATTTTTCAACAACTTTATTAATAATTGTACCTAACCAAAACAAACTCATAAAATTGGACAAATTTAGTATGAATTAGATATTACTCCCTCCTTCATGTTAAGAGCCCATTTGGTGAGCCTGTTTTTCGACTTATCAAGCTTATCAGCCAACTTTTTCACCAAACACGTTACTTTTGATTTTGCGCGCTCAATTGCAAGTCATCGAACTCCAAGTCATTGCCAGAGGAGCACATGTTGTCAAACTGATGCTCGGCGGATGACGAGCTAACTCGGGTACTTGGGTCAATTATGTGAGACTCCAACCTAGAAAAAGACATGACGACGTTCGGTACCTGTAGGTCTCGGAGATTGATGCGGTACGGGAAATAGCTAGAGAGAGAAAACAATCGCACAGCGTAAGGACCAAAGAGGAAGCAAATGGTTGATCCGCGTGGTTCTGGGTACTTATAAGCAATGCTGCAGAGCCTCGCCAATCACAGCTAAACACGTGGCGCATTAGTACCGGTATATCCCGCAGTATTAAAGGTGCCTCGATCTTAGCACCCTCTAATCATGACAAAGAATCTCATGGTCCATCCTGAGAATGAACTTCGGTAAGGGTATAACGAGACGCACGTCTTGCATAAGCCCGCTGACGGCACCAGTGGTGCCCCAAATACGCGCATCACCGAGCACTTGGCACTTACCCAAAAGAGTACGGAGTGAATAATGGGCTCATCTATCCTAACGGTGGACGAATGTCGTCACTAGATGCAAGGATCAGATGATTACGTTCGTCTCCGCATACTTAGCAAGGACATGAGGACCAATGATACAGGAGGAATGTGAGCTGGGCGGACGAACATCGCGGAAGGGATTCAGACTTTAGCACTTAGCAAAAAAGTAAAGATATGAGGCTGAATAATACCCAAGTCAACAGTGGACGTACGTCGTCACGGAATATGGGCACCAGACGATTACATTTGTATCCGCGTACTTAGCCAAATACCAAGGTATGATGCTAAGTGACACCAAGGTCAACGACGGACGAACATCGTCACTGGATACAAGCATCAGATGGGTACGTTCGTCCCCACATACTTAACAGAATACAGGATGTGAGACCAAGTGATGCCTAACAGAGATGTCAGCATCATCGGAGATGACTTTTTACATACCAAAGAAAGACTACGTACGGCATCAGATAAGGGTTTCACACACAGTTATCAAACAAAAAGGAAGTGGCAAAGGAAAAGGACACGAACGTAGAGATAATTGTGGAGCAAAAATGTGGTTGTATTCCTCAACGCTACCGGCTGGAATTTACAATCATACCAAAAACAAAGGAAGATTAATTACATTAACAAAAAAGGGGGATTCAGGCCGAGCATCTTCCTGAGCGGGTTCCTCCTCCTCAAGCTCCGGCTCGGGGGAAGGGGGTTCCGGGACTTCACCCCTTTCCTTGGCCTCCTCACGACGCTGATCTCTATTCAGCTTGCCCAAAGCTCGGATCAGCTCGATATCCTCGGTATGCTTGGCCAGGTTGAAGTCAGGACCTTGTAGCGCGGCGAAGATGGGCAGTGTGGCCTTCACCCCTTCGTTGTAGCCTAGAGCAAAGGAGCTATCCCTGACGTCATATAAGAACTTTTTGAACAAAGGAGCACTCTTGAGCACCGGGACCCGAACGCCAGGCGGTCCTTCGGCTTCTGCTTCTTCAGCTCGGCCGAGAATACGTCGCCGAACGCACCCCCGCAGTACCTCTGGGCAAAGATCATGAATGCCCGGGTATTTTCATACCCAGAGGTATCTACGAGCCATTGAGGGGCCTCATCCTTGGGGGCGGGAAGGACCGGGACGAGCTTAAACCCGGCCTTCTCAAAAGCAGCAACCTACTCAGCCGACTCACGAGCCGCATTCAGAGCGGCCTGCAGCTCCTTCGCCATAACCTCTTTCTCTTGGAGACGGGCGGCTTCATGCGCTTTCTTCAGAGCGGCCTTTGCCTTGTTCTTGGCCTGCAGGGCGTCCGCATCCCTGACAGCCTCGGCTTGGAGCACACAAAGCCAGGTCCGGAAGCTCATATTCAGCTGTTCGACGTTCGATACGACATACCTGAAGGGCGGCCGCCAGG